TTTTGAAGAGCTGCTGTGTTCTATGCACTGTAACCATCTTTAGCACATCATTTATACCTGATCTCTCTGTGCCTCCATTTTCTCATCTGTACAATAGGGGCAATAGCCGGGACCGGTTTGGCTCAGTGGATAGAGTAGGGGTGTCGAACTCAATCAGAGAAGGGGCCAAAATCTAAAATCCAGCCTAAATCGCGGGCCGAATGGTTTACTGAACAGTCATAAACTGTCATTGTGATGGAAATGCAGTGGAGTGCAGTGATGACAGCGCGGTGCGGGCCACATTGCAAGGCCTGGCGGGACGGATTTGGCCCGCGGGCCTTGTGTTTGACACATGTGGGATAGAGCATCAGCCTGCGGACTGAAGGGCCCAGGTTCGATTCCGGTCAAGGGCATGTACCAGTAGGGGGTGTGCAAGAGGCAGCTGATCGATGATTCTCTCTCATCGATGTTCCTAACTCTCTATCTCTCTCTCTTCCTCTCTGGAAAAATCAATTATATATATATATATATACATACACACACACATACATACACACACACAATATATGGTACAATAGGGGCAATAGAACTTTACTTAAAGGATTGGTATGAGGCTTAAATGAGTTAATACATATAAGGCACTGAATGCTTGGGGTATAGTTAAGAGCTTAATAAATGTTGGCTGTCATCATTATTAGTTATCAAAAGTCCACAGTGTGCAAGGTACTAGAATTACTTTTAATATAATAGTAGTTATCATTACTGAGCACATACTAGGCATAAGGCCCTTTAATCCATATCAATATAATTGAGCCCCATTTGTGAGCCAGAACTGGGCTAGATACTGGAGAGAACAGTGTCTTAGGCAAGGGTCTTATACTCTGATTAGGGGAAATTGGACCATTTTTGAGGTAGGCATCCTTAGGAGAGTCAGAATGACTCTTCTGCAAATATGGGCTTAAAGCAGGAAGGAGATGGCTTTGAGGGGCCAGATTGAGTTTAGGAATCAGGGTACTATTTTTTTTTTTTAATCTTAAACACTTTCTTTATTTATTGGTTGATTTTAGAGAGGGGGAAAGGAGAGGAGAGGGAGAGAGAGAGAGAGAGAGAGAGAGAGAGAGAGAGAGAGAGAGAAGAAAGACATTGATTTGTTGTTCCACTTGTTTATGCATTTATTGGCTGTTTCTTGTATATACCCTGATGGGGATTGAACCTGCAACCTTAGAGTATTGGGATGACATTCTAACCAACTAAGCTACCCAACCAGGGCTTCAGGACACTCTTGAACTATCACCTGAGCTGGGCCAACATGGATTCTAACAAGCTACATTCCTGTGACTGTTTACCTGGGGAATAAGTCATTGGAGGGCTGAGGACTCTCTCAGACAAAGGCCAAAGTCTTCTTCCCGGGAAAGTAAGAGAAGCCAGAGACAGAGAAAGAAGCTGCTGAGCTTTGAACCCAGGAAGGATAACCCTTGTCCTTCAGAGACGGAATAGAAGCGGGAGTGAAGTCAATGGGCTGGGGGTTCAGTGCCCCCTTCCTTCTTCCTATCCTAGGACCACCTCACCAATCTCATGGTAGAGTTATTCAGGTTTGCTGCCTTCTCTGCTTGGCCATAAGGATAGGCCACCTCCTCCAAGAGCCATGGAACCTTGTAGAACTTCAGGTTATTTCAAGGTCAACCCCATTCCATACTCTATGATTTCTCTCATTTTTCCAAGGAGAGTTCCAGCAAGAAGGATCTGGCTGGGTCGGAAGTTCAGAGCCACATAGAAATGGGTCCTGAGACTTAGACTTGAGTTTGGTATGGTCTCAAATCTCAGCTCAGAAAGCTCTAGGCCTCTGATGGGACCAGGAGAAATGCAAAAATATGAGTCCAGGCACCCTTAGAGATCATCAAAGCTACCCCATTCATGTTACAGAAGAGGAAACAGGCATAGAGAAGGGAAAGGATGAGACCAAGGTCTCTGAGCAGGTGAGTTGCAGAACTAGGTCGGAATCCCAGGCTCCAGAGTTCCTCACCAGCAGGATGGTAGATACCTGAGTGCCTTGTAGGGCCTGTTGAGTCTGAAAGTTCAGAGCCTTCAGTGGCCCAGGGAACAGCAAGAAATGTGGGACTACCTTTTCTGACCCTCCAACCCTCACTTGACTTTGACAGAACCATTCTTTTTTTAAAAATTATTATTAATATATTTTTTGTTTTGTTTTGTTTTTACAGAGAGGAAGGGAGAGATATAGAGAGAAACATCTATCAGCCACCTCTTGCACACCTCCAGCTGGGGATGTGCCCACAACCAAGTATATGCCCTTGACCGGAATCAAACCCGGGACCCTTCAGTCCACAGGCTGATGCTCTATCCACTGAGCCAAACCAGTCAGGGCAAACAGAACCATTCTTTTCAGAGATTTCCCAAGAAGGGCCATCCTTCCACCTCCCACTAACTCAGGTTGCCTGTTCCAACATGTCTCACACTGGGCATTGGAAACTTTTCTCTGCATCCAAAACCTGGTCACCAAAACCACATCTTTAAAAGAATAATATGTATGAAACACTTGGAACAACAATAACAACAAAAACACCACTTAGAACAGTGCCTGAAAGGGCTCTACAGGGTTTGCTATCATCAACATCATCATCATCATCATCATCATCATCATCATCATCATCATCACTTCTACCTTTCTGCTCACATGGGCTGTGCTAAAGTTAATAATCCTGGAAAAAGGAGAGTTTGGTTGGGTATAAATAATCTATTTCTTCACAAGCAGGAACCGAGGGTCAGGGAAGCTGAGAACCTCCCCAGTGACCCATGCAAGATAAAAACCAGAGGTTCCTGTGAGCTTCACACTCAGCCAACAAGCATTTTTGTTCATCTCACAGAGCCTTATGACTTTTTTTAAAAGTATGTTTTAATTGATTTTTAGAGATAGAAGAAGGGAAGGGGGTAGAGAAATAGAAAAATGATGATGAGGAAGAAACATCGTTGATTGGCTGCCTCCTTGCACATCCCACACTGGGGATCAAGTCCTACAACCTTGGGCATGTTCCCTGACCGGGAATCAAACCATGACCTCCTGGCGCAGGGATAGACACTCAACCATGAGCCACCCCAGCTGGGCTGACATTTTTTTAATTTGTTGCTAACATATTAAACTCAGATTCCTGGCTTTTCTTGAAAAGGCAACAACCCATTTGAGACTGGGTTTTGACCAGGTATTCCCTCTCCACTCAGATATAGTCTCTACCACCCAGCTCAATTCACTCATTAACTTTTTAAAATACATATATATATATATATATATATATATATATATATATATATATATATAAAATTAATTTTTTACAGAGAGGAAAAGACAGGGACAGAGAGTTAGAAACATTGATGAGAGAGAGTCATCTGCCTCTTGCACTCCCCCCTCCCCCTCGGGATTGTGCCTGCAACCAAGGTACATGCCCTTGACCGGAATCAAACCAGGGACCTTTCAGTCCACAGGCTGACACTATCCACTGAGCTAAACCAGTTTCAGGTAAATACTTTTTTATTGATTTCAGAGAGAGAATGAGAAATGAGAAAAGGGGAGAGAGATAAAAATATCAATTATGGCCCTAGTTGGTTTGGCTCAGTGGCTAGAGCATCAGCCTGTGGACTGAAGGTTCCCAGGTTTGATTTCAATCAAGGGCAAATGCCCGGGTTGTGGCTTGATCCTCAGTAGAGAGCATCTAGGAGGCAGCCAATCAATGATTCTTTCTCATCATCGATGTTTCTATCTCTCTTTCTTCCCTTCCTCTCTGAAATCAATAAAAATCTATTTTAAAAAAAGAAAAAAAATATCAATGACTCGCTAGCCAGTTTAGCTCAGTGGAGAGAGTGTCAGCCTGCAGACTGAAAGGTCCTGGGTCCCAGCCCGAGCTCTGGTCAGGGCATGTGCAGGAAGCAACTAATTGGCATGTTTCTCTCACATTGATATTTCCCTCTGCCTTTCCTTCTCTCTTCCGTGCCCTTTATTTATTTTTTTAAAATATATTTTATTGATTTTTTTTTACAGAGAGAAAGGGAGAGAGATAGAGAGCCAGAAACATTGATGAGAGAGAAACATCAATCAGCTGCCTCCTGCACATCTCCCGTAGGGGATGTGCCCGCAACCAAGGTATGTGCCCTTGACCGGAATGGAACCTGGGACCCTTCAGTCTGCAGGCCAATGCTCTATCCACTGAGCCAAACCGGTTTCAGCTCTTCCATGCTCTTTAAAAATCAATGGAGCCAAGACCAGTTTGGTCAAGGGCATGTATCTGGGTTGCAGGCACATCCCCAGTAGGAGGTGTGATCGATGATCCTCCCTCATCAATGTTTCTAACTCTCTATCCCTCTCTCTTCCTCTCTGTAAAAAATCAATAAAATATATTTTTAAAAATAATAAATAAATAATAAAAATCAATGGAAAAATATTCTCAGGTGAGGATTAAGAGAAGAAGAAGAAGAAGAAGAAGAAGAAGAAGAAGAAGAAGAAGAAGAAGAAGAAGAAGAAAGAAAGAAAGAAACATCCATGATGACAGAGAACCATTAGTGGGTTATGGATCCATGCTCAACCACTAAGCCACACCAGCTGGGCTCACCCATTAACTTTTTTTTTTTTTAAATATATATTTTATTGATTTTTTTTACAGAGAGAAAGAGAGAGGGATAGAGAGTTAGAAACATCGATGAGAGAATCATCGATCAGCTGCCTCCTGCACACCCCCTACTGGGGATAAGCCCGCAACCAACGTACATGCCCTTGACGGGAATCGAACCTGGGACCTTTCAGTCAGCAGGCCAATGCTCTATCCACTGAGCCAAACCGGTTTCAGCTCACCCATTAACTTTTAACTGCCCGCCCCGAAAGTCCTCGAATTTATAATCCCCAATCTAAATGGCCATTCCCCTCAATGGAGCCTTGGAAGGAGCATTTTGCCAGAGACAATTTATTTTTCACAACAGCAGACTGATGGACATGTGTCCATTCATGGTTGGTGTCAATGTTACCACCAGTTACCAGATTTGGAGGTGGGTTCAAGAGGGGCATTCCAACATGAGCGGAGTTCATCCCAGAACTTGGGCAGGCGACCTAAAGAAAAGATCTTGTTGCCAAACAAAGGGAGCTCAGGCAACTTTATGTCTTGTCTCTGTGGCTGCGTCGGAGGGGGGTTCTGGCTACGAAACTGATGTGAACAACTTGTGTTGACGGCACCATCCACAGATCGCAAAGCATTGACACCCTTGGTGGTTGGCACCTTGGTGGTGCTGGGTTTGGAGTAACTGCAGGGAGAGGAGTGGTCTTGGTGATCCAGGTAGGAGCTGGCAGCCTGTTCTAGGTAGTTGACTGCGAGCCTTGGCAGGTTCAGTGATTGGGAGCAGCTGATGGATCTGTCAAGGTAGTTGATGCCTCTGATGAGTTGGTCCAGAAAGGAGGGACTGGAATGGTCTGAGGGACCATCTGTGCAGAGCAGACAGTGGGGGCTGTCACGGTAACAGGGCTTTCTGGCTATCTTGGGGCGGTTCTTCGGGTAGCCCGTCTCTATGAACTTGGAGGAGTATGGCTGGCCCGTGCAGATTCTCCTCATTGGAAGTGGAGGGGAGCTGTGGCTGTCGGACTGTTCCGAAGAGTTGTTGCAGCTGCTGAACTCCCAGGCCCTTGGGGTGCGAGGACGTTTGAGGCCGATAGGCCTTGTCTCAGGGCTTTGGAAACAGCCTGGAGTCGGGATTCGAAAGGTCACATTCTTGGGATGGTTCAAGTGGCTGTGAGTGTTGGGAAGTCTCACCTGGCGCCCAGACATTGGCCTGCTAGAAGGGTAAAGCTTCGTGCCACTGAACTGCTGTGAGCTCCCCTGGAAGTTGGTTACCTGGGGTCTGGTGAGGAAAGTTAGGTCAGCTTTCCTCAGCTCCCTGCCACCTCCCTCCTGGATTTCTCTCCAGGTGTTCCATCAGCCTCCACAGAACCAACACCCCACCCTTCTCCTTCTCCCCATCTTCCTCCTAGGCCCAGGGATTTTCAAACTGAAAAACAGACACCCCAGGATTCAGAAAGCACAGAGAAGGGCAAAAGGGACCATCTGTGCAGAGCAGACAGTGGGGGCTGTCACGGTAATAGAGCTTTCTGAAGGTAGGAAGGCAAGATCCTGGAAATGAAGGAGCCAGAAGACCCCTAGAAAGAGTGGGGGAGTCTTTCTCTGCTCTTAGCTCTAGCCCACATTCTGAAATTCCTATTTGCCCTTTAACCCACAGAGGCCCAGCACTGAATCTCTAATGGTGAATTTCTAATGGTGAAATAAAGCACTGAGGCAGGCTTTCTTACGAGACAATGTCAACTTGCTAATCAACAACTACACAATGTACTCAGATACGAAAAAAATGTGTCTTAGAAGCAATGCAGTCCTAGACGCACTATCTCTGAGCCCGGATCTTGGCTTGTGTCTTGCATGGAATTCTTTCTGCAAACCAAGGTGGTAGTTGCTAATCTTTTCCTAGATGACTAATGAGGAAACTGAGGCTCAGAGAGATGATGTGATTTGACTCCAGATAACACAGCTTGTTAGGGGTGGGGCCAAGGAACTCTCTTAGGTGTGTCGGATGACCCCGGAAAGACAATGCCATGTTGTCGAGGTGACTTTGGCCTCCTTCCCAGTCTACTTAGGAAGAAGTCTCACCACACCTGCTCTGCCTGCCTGGATGGGGGCGTGAAGGGGAGAACCGGATGCAGAGGGACACTTGCTACTCCATAACTAAGAATGGAGCTGCATTTGAACCCCAAATGTTGGGGGGCAGGTGGCGTGACAAACCCACTAACGAGGTTGGACTTGTGAAATCAGAACCTTCCAGGATATTTGGCCTTGGTACTCTCTAACAATAGAGATCTTTTCATCCACCCCACAAAGAAGGGGGTGAGTATTGGGACACCTACTCCTCCTGCTTCAAAGGTAGGCACTTCACAGGGACTAAGCCCTGACCAGGCCAAAGAGATGCCCCGTCCATTTAACCCCCACTCCTGTTCCTGAGCCTGTCTGGGCCCAGCCAAAGGTAGTAGCTTCCTGTCCCTGTCCCCATTGTGGTTGAGTTCTCCACACCAGAAGGAAGCCTCTCGTTTCTCTCCCCTAGTAATGCCAGCTTGAGGCTAATTTTCCACTTCTGCCTAGTAAGGACAGAGCTGTATGTGAACCTGTCCCACCCAGAAAACAGCTGCCAGCCCCTCTCCCAGCCCATCGCCCATCAGCTGCCCTTGTCCTTTGGGTCTGAGTCAAGTGGGATGTTCAGACCTGCCTCTGCCCTCTCTGGTCCAACCCCACCCCCATTTCCTCTTCTGAGAAAATAGGAGGTAACTGAGGGCTGACCCCCACAGGGTCCCGCCCTTCCCTGGCTGGCTGGTTGGGCCCCAACTGCCAAAAGGCCCCCTCCCACTCTCACTGTGTGTTTAGGAGGTAGATGACGTGGCCCTCTTCTTGGTGTCTACTGAGGTTCCCCTCACATAGACTGCTAGCCATGTCATAGAATCACGGAATCCTAGCGCTGGGAGGGGCCTCCTGGGGTCATCCTGGTCAGGCCCCTGCTTCAAGGCCAGTGCCACTTTAAGCCTCTCACGGCAGATGGACCCTATTTTTAAGCGGGGCTGGGATGGACGTTTTCCAGTATCCCTTGTTGTTTTTCTAAGTGTTTAATTGTGCTGAGAGACAGGAAGTTCTATGCCGGGTCTACTGTAACTCCCATGGGCTGTGGTCAGCATCAATGACTTCTCTTTTCTCCTCGGGTCAGTAAACATGTCTCCAGAGGCACTGGAGTGATACTCCTTTGAATGACCCATCCCTGGGCATAACAGCACCTTCTTTCCTCCCTTCTCACCTCTTCCTCATACCCTCAGCAGCCTGGTGTTGAGTACCTAGTCCTCAGGGGCCGCCCAGGACATGTTCGCTGAAAACACAAGCAAAACCCCCTTGTTGAGTTCGTACCGTATTTGCCAAGGAAACCCTCCCTCCAACATTTCCTTCCCTAACTATTGAAAATACAGGTTTACTTTTTATTTGTAAAGATTTCCAGTTACTGGAAACTTCTAAGACAATAACTCCCATATAGTTTCTATCCAAATCCACTGATTATTTTTTTCATCTATTAATTATTAACACTTTTGCCATATTTGTCACTACACATCCCCCCAATTAATTATTATTATTTTTTAAAGTATATTTTATTGATTTTTTACACAGAGAGGAAGGGAGAGGGACAGAGAACTAGAAAATCGATGAGCGAGAAACATCGACCAGCTGCCTCCCGCACTCCCTCTCCCACCGGGAATGTGCCCGCAACCAATGTACATGCCCTTGACCAGAATCAAACCCGGGACCTCTCAGTCCGCAGACTGACGCTCTATCCACTGAGCCAAACCGGTTTCAGCTAATTATTATTTTAAGAGTAAGTTGCAGACAACAATACCTTTACCCTTGAATACTTCTGCATGTGTCCCCTACACACACGCTGGGAGGAGAATCTTTCCTTACATGTCCACGCTACGATGACAATCACAGGACATTCAATGTTGATACAGTTCTAGTATCTAATATGCAGTCTGTATTCAAATCCCCCGTCTTTCCCTCTGATGCTCTTCATGGCAACTCTTCCTCCAGCATTTCATCCAGGGTCCGATTCGGGGACCCGGCATTGCCCTTAGCTCTCAGGTCTCTGGTTCCCTTTAACCGGAAGTCCCTCCGTCTTCCTGTGTGTCTTATGACATTGGCATTTTTGGGTTTTTTTAAAATGAATTTTTAAAAAAATATATTTTATTGATTTTTCACAGAGAGGAAGGGAGAAGGATAGAGAGCTAGAAACATCAATGAGAGAGATACATCGACCAGCTGCCTCCTGCACAGCCCCTACTGAGGATGTGCCCGCAACCAATGTACATGCCCTTGACTGGAATAGAACCTGGGACCCTTGAGTCCGCAGACCGATGCTCTATCCACTGAGCCAAACCGGTTTTGGCGACATTGGCATTTTTGAAGAGTACTGGCGATTTGGGTTTATCGAATGTATTCTAATGAAAAGATTCAAGATTACAAAGCACTTTTACACAGAAAGCTCTGCCTACGCCGCTACGGCCTCCCAGCCACAATCACTGAGACAGAAGGGCTTTTTGCACGGGGGTGGGGGGTGGGGGTGGGGTAATAGGGTAATAGTCACCGAAACAGGGAGCTGAAAGGAAGGATCAGCGCCCCTACCTTTCCCCCCAAGGATGAAGAGGTCCACTGGCGGACTCAGGGAACCAGGGAAGTGGTGTCAGCTGTTGCTCTGTGGGGCCTCGGCCAGGCCTGGTTCTGCTCTGGGCTGGGGGCTGGGCCTGTGCCGTGTTTGTCCTGACGGTACCCAGGCATCGGAGATCACTGGCCATTTCTGGCCTGGGCACTGAGAGCCTCTGGAAATAGCTCCGGGACGATTATTTCAGGAGGAATGTGCAGTTCCCCCATCCTCCCCGAAAGCCAGGCTGTGTCCCGTAAGGTGAGGAATGTCCCTCTACGGCACATGTGTCAAACACAAGGCCCGCGGGCCAAATCCGTCCCGCCAGGCCTTGCAATGTGGCCCGCACCGCGCTGTCATCACTGCACTCTGCTGCGTTTCCATCACAATGACAGTTTATGACTGTTCAGAAAACCATTCGGCCCGCGATTTAGGCTGGATTTTAGATTTTGGCCCCTTCTCTGATTGAGTTCGACACCCCTACTACGGCCTCTCCAACGCCAAGGGATCGCTGGGACTTCGGGGGGCCACAGAGGCCCTTGGAGACAGAAGGGACCGGGAGCCCTGAGTGGGGCGGTTGTTCTGTCCTTCGATGCTGGGTTCTCTGGACCCCGCCTAGGGTCGGGGCAGCCGTCTGACTCCAAACATGGGGGCACTTGAGGGGGAGGCTATGGGGAAGCAGCCCGCCCCGGCTCTTTCCCAGGCCCGTCCCCAAGAAGCTGATGCTGTGCCAGAGAACCTGACATTGTCGGGGCCAGGACCTTCACATCCACCCTCTCACTTAATTCTCATGGCACCCTAAGGCAGGGACTTTGTTTTCCTGGTGAGGTCATCGAGATTGCAAGAGGGTCCCCTGGGCATGGTAGCTCAGTCGATTGGGCATTGTTCTGTAAACTGGAAGGTCATCAGTTTGATTCCCAGTTGGGGCACATGCCTGGTGGTGGGTTCGATCCTCAGTGAGGTGTGTGCAGGAGGCCGCAGATGGATGTTTTGCTCTCACATTGATGTTTCCCTCCTTTTCCGCTCCTTTCTCTCTAAAAATCAAAGGGGGCCAAAACTGGTTTGGCTCAGTGGATAGAGCATCAGCCTGTGGACTAAAACATCCCAGGTTCAATTCCGGTCGAGGGCATGTACCTTGGTTGCGGGCACATCCCCAGTGGGAGGTGTGCAGGAGGCAGTTGATGGATGTTTCTCTCTCATCGATGTTTCTAACTATCTCTCTCTCTTCCTCTCTGTAAAAAATCAATAAAATATTTCTTAAAAAATAAATAAATAAAAATAAATAAAAATAAAAGGGGCAAAAAAAAAAAAAAAAAGATTCCACGAGAGTGACAGATTTACCCAAGCTCAGCCTGCGATCAGAGTTGGAACCTGGTTTTCTGGGTTCTCCGGGCTTAAGCACTAATTGGGGGAGGACGTGGGCCACCTCCTCACGTAACGAAGACTCAAACTGAGCAGCGTTGGGAGGGGTCCAGCTGTGGCCCTGCCCCCCACCAAGCACGCCCCTGTCTCCCACCGTCCAGCCAACCCCAGCTGCTTCTCCTCCCCTAGCACTGCACGGAAGGATCCTGAGTGGCTGGGGGCCCCTCCCTGCACAGTCTGCAGCCTCAGTGGTCCCCACCTTTGCCCCCTGGCACGACTTCCAACCTTGGCTCCTTCGCTCCTAGGCCAAACCAACGGCAAATCGTGCGTGGGCCTTTCCCCCTCCCGCTCACTCGCTCTCACCTTACTCCTCTTCCTGAAGTCCTACCCACATCCTTGTCCCCTC